ACATGTGTGTGGTGATGGGTTGTAATTAGTATTTTGGTGGTGAACATAATGTAGTCCATGCAGAAATAGAAGTACAATGATGTACACCTGAAATTTTTGCAATGTTATAAACCAAATTTACTGCAATAAACAAATAAGCTAAAAAAAAAAAAAAAAGAAAATAGATAGGTTTGTGATGAAAGTTTTAAAAGCCATAAGGTACAAGAGATAAAGAAATGTAAAGACATACGTACTAAACCCAACACTGTTAGAATTAGACAGCATGTCTTACAACGGAAAAGTGGCAATGTTTGCCTGCAAGTAGGAAGCTCCAATAAATTTTTGCAAATAAATAAATTAATACATGCATACTTACATACATATATAATTCTGAACTTGAAAGAGCCCAGATGTCCTTCAACAGGTGAGTGGTTGAAAAAACCAAACTGTGGTACATCTATACTGTGGAATACTGCTCAGCAATAAAAAGGAACAAGCTATTTGACTGAACAACTTGCACGATCTCAAGAGAATGATACTGAGTGTAAAAAGCCGATCACCAAGGTTATATTCTGTAAGATTCCATTTGTAGAACATGCTTGAAATAAAATTATAGAGATGGAGAACAGATTAGTAGTTGCCAGGGGTTATGGATGCTGAGTAAGAGGGAGTGAGGAGCGGGTATGGTTAAACAGGAGTACCGTGAGAGGGCCTTATGGAGACATAACAACTCTGTATCTTGATTGTGATGGTGGTTTCCCAAATCTATACACATGATAAAATTGCATAGAACCACATACACACACACACACACACACACACACACACACACAAGTGCATGTAAAACTGGTAAAATCTGAACAAATTCTATGGACTGTACCAACGTCAATTTCTGAATTTTGATATGTACTACAATTATATAAGATGTGACCATTGCAGGAAATTGGGTAGAGGGTACACAGGACTTTGCTGCCCTTTTTTTAAAACTTTCTATGAATCTGTAGTTGTTTCCAAATAAAATTTAAATAAAAAAAAACAAATGAAGCTAATTGGAAGTAAAAGGGAGCATGCCTTTATTTGCCTACCATGCACCTTTATCTCAATGTTTATAACAACTTTCTTTCCCTTCAATCAATCAAATTTTTATTTGAGAAATGAAAGGATTCTAGTAGATATGAGATAAAATCTGAAAATTCTAGTCTGCTGCCTTGAAGTCAGACACAGTTTTTTAAAAAATTATTATTATTATTATTTTGGTTAAGTGTAAGAACACAACATAAGATATAACCTCTTGGAAAATTTTAAGTGTACGAAACAGTATTGTTAGCTCTAAGCATTATGCAGTATTATAGATCTCCAGAACTTACTTATCTTTCATAACTGAAACTTTGTGCCCTTTGACCAACATCTCTCCATTTTCTCCTTCCCTAGCAATCACCATTCTACTCTCTGCTTCTGTGAGTTTGACTGTTACAGATTTCATGTATAAGTGAGATCATATAGTATTTGTCTTTCTGCATCTGGCTTATTTCACTTAGCATAATGTCTTCCAGGTCCATCTGTTATTGTCAAAGTCAGGATTTCCTTCATTTTTAAGGCTGAGTAATATTCCATTGTATATATGCACCACATTTTCTTTATCCATTCATCTGCTGATGGACGCTAAGCTTGTTTCCGTAGCTTGGCTACTGTGAATAACGTTGCAATAAACATGGGAGTGCAGGTATCCCTTTGAGATTCTGATTTCAATTCTTTTGGATAAATACCCATAAATGGGAGTGCTGGATCCTATGGTAGTTCTATTTTTAATTTTTTGAGGAACCTCCATACTGTTTTCCATAATAGCTGTACCAATTTACGTTCCCACCAACAGTGTACCAGGGTTCCGTTTGTCCGCATCCTCATCAACATTTGTTCTCTTTTGTTTATTTTAATAATAGCCATCCTAACAGGTGTGAGGTGATATCTCATTGTGGTCTTGATTTGCATTTCCCTCTTGATTAATGATGTATGACAACATTGGTAGGTGGGTATTGCGATTCTTTCTTTATAGCAAAGCAATCCTAGGTTGAGAGAATTCAAGTAACATGTCCAACATCACAGCTGGTATTCAGTACAGTCAGAATTCAGATCTAACTCTAATTCCCAAGTCCATGGGCTATCCTCTGGACTAAGCGGCCTCTATTTAATTGGTTTAAATCAATTCATGGATTACAGTTTACTGAAGACTCTTTTTTTTTGGCAGCAGTTATAATCTATAACTACATGTATATGTTATATGTATTACATATGTTATACATTATTAGGTTCAAAGATGCCTTCCTTTAAATCTTTTTTAATTTCTGCTCTGAGACTGAATTCTGGTCTGGATAAAAACTCATTGGCGAGTGCCAATTTAACTTTTCTATTGTAGAGTCCCCTGAGAACATGTACTCCTGTGTTGTGCAGAAAAAGAGACAGCACTATGCATTGAATGTTTCATTAACAAGAAATAATGAGAGATGAGCAATTTTAGTGCCTTTGAATGCTAAAACGTTTTATTGGAGAACATCAAGCAATTCTACATGAAAATGAATTCCATATAAAAACATTAGAAAGAAAAAATATAGAAGGGAAACATTTGAAGACTCCTATATTTTGAATCAGAATTAGGAATTCTAAAACAATTTAATGCAAAATCTGACTGTAAATTCTGATTCACTAGTAATAAGATGTTTCTACAAAAGAGAATAAATAATAATATAGAGACCAAAAGTTTCCAGATCAGTCCATGGGTCTGTTTGTAAATTCATAATATTAAGGAAGTGCCACATGTTTTATTGAATTAGACACTCTCTGCCTGGACTGAAGGATGGGGACAAGGAAGTTCATGAGTCCAGAGCAGGACACTCAGCAGCAAGAACCGCTGTAGCAGCTGGGGCGGCAGCAGGTTATTCTGCAGCAGGTGGTCTGGCAGCAGGAGGGACGGCAACAGCTGGACACACAGCAGCTTGGGCGGCAACTGGTGGTCCTGCAGCAGGTGGTCCTGTAGCAGGTGGGCTGGCAGCAACTGGGGGGGCAGCAGGTCTCTTGGCAGAGGCCTTGGCCGCAGCTCTGATCAGAGCAAACAGCGCCACAACAAGAGTTGACCATGGTGTCAGAGGGTGAGGTTCTGGGTGGGTTTCCAGGAGAGTGTATTTCTTGAATCTGGAAGTCTTCTTGCTCCGGGTCCCCTTTCATCCTTTGCTGAGGGAGGTCTTTCCTTGTTATTGTTTACCCAAATAAGTAAGCAATTGTTAAATTAGGCAATTATATTTTCCAAGTTGGGTGGAAAGCATCGTTTCCTTTTCCTGATGGATTAGGATTTATCCCATTGACTCTTCCTGCACCACATCTCAACTGTCTTTCTATGTGTGTACCATCTTCATTCAGATGCTGGTTAAATATTCTAAGCTGAGCGTGTTGACTCTCTCTTCCTGAATCATCTCCTGTCATTCCTTCCTTGAAGGCATCATCTATGTTTATAGATACTGCAGCTCCTGCCATAGAGCAGTTGTCGTGCGGACTTTGAAATGGGGGAGTCCAGCTGTCACTTTTTCCCACCTGTGGGTCTTACCATGCCCTCAATTTGTGCAGCATTCCTTGTGTAAAAGAGATTTAGTCACAGGTCCAATCCAGATATAAGGAAATCTCCGAAGGATGGAATCTTATCGTGGAAAAACAAGATAAAATCCACCAGTGTGGTTAGTTGTAAGCAAAAATGGTCAGGCGGGAAGTCAGGACCATCCCCGGGCCACCCAGACTGTGTTCTCATCCCACTTCCTGGACTTGAAAATATTGGCACATTTCCTCTTCGTAAAGAACAAATGTGTCTGGAATAGACATAGCCCTTCAGGAATCACCACTGGAATTGATAACCGTGTTTATGTTACTGAAAATTTTTATATTTATATACAAAATAGAATATACCGTGTAACCTCAATTACGTAAAAAGGACATAGAAAAATAATTGACATATTTACCAGAAATAGTAGTAGTAATTATCTCTGGCTGATAGGCTCATGGAAATTTTTAATTTTCTTCTTAACACTTTTATCTCCTTTTTCTTTGATGACTTGTTTTTCTTTTGTAAACACAAAAAAAATTAAAGGAAACTTTGTCAAGCTACTACACTATTTAGAGATATCTACCATGACTCTCCAGGGCTGGGGGTTAGGGGGTTCCAGGCCAGCATGGTGCTCAGCCAGTAGCACAAGTTCAGCTGTACTGGTTGTTAAGATATTGAAGTTCCGTTGGTAAACAGCCCCTGCCCTGAGCTCCCTGGATGTCCCCCTCAATGCCACATCCCTGTGATCCAGCAAGAAAAAGTTAAAGACAAGAATCTGAGAGAGGGCTTTAGGCTCCTCCTCTAGGGCTAAGCCTGAAGTCCATTCTGACCTAGTTGGTGACTTTGAACTACTGGTTTTCAAATATTTTTAATCTCACTCCTGCCGCAGAATGCCGATTCACAATCCTGAGGCTGCCCAGTGGTACATTTCACAAGGGGGCATTCGACAAATACATACGCCTTTAAACTGCTTGGGAGGCAGGACACCAATGCCTCACCAGCGGGAAGGGGCTTGCTATGAACTGGAAAAGGAAGCCCGGAGTCCTAGGCAGGAGGCAAGGTACTAGACTTCATTCTCAGTTCAGCTCTAGATAGTCTGACTCAGAAGGTTTCTGGGGAGGAGCCTAGACTCCCCCTCTTTATTCTTTATAGTCTCTGAGGTAATTCTGATGCAGAGCTAGAGTTTCAAACACCAGAATGAGATGCCTAAGTTTGAAGTGCAGCTGTAGCAACTGGGCAACTTAAAGAATGAGGCAGAGGCACATGTGGCACTGGCAGAAATGGAGCACAGTATGGGCGGGTGCTGGGGAGGAAAAATAATTTTCCCTCTACCCTTCTAGGTTCCTGGCTGAATGACCCTGTATTAAAAGACAGATTTAAAGGAGAAAAACAAATAGAAGTTTAAGAACATCTATACCTCCTGTATACGTGGGAGGTACCCAAGAAAATTGAATAACTCCACAAAATGGCGCAAGCCACCACCTTAAATATTATCTCCAGCTAAAGAGAGAAGATGTTCGGGTGGGGCAGGTTGGGGGCAGGGTGGGGGTGGGGACTAGTTACGGAAGATTACCAGGGTAAGAGTTTCTAGAGATTTAGAATTATCCTTTTCTTCCTGGTACAGAGAGAGATACCCTTACAAATGGAGATTTCCCTTATAAATGTAAGTATCTTTTACAAAAAGGTATCTTCTACTCAGTTTTCAGAGCTTCTCCTGTGTCTATTGGTTCTTAAAAATAATCAGCCTAAAATAATCCTTATGCTTAAGAGGCATATTTTGGGGTGGCACACTGCTTCCCCTTAGAGTAATAGATGCAAATAGCTAAAAGACATAAGAAAAGATGTTTAAATCAACTTGTAATTAAGAACATATAACTTAAAACAACCAAATACTATTTTCTCTTTTCAGGTTGGCAAAAAAAAAAAATTAATAAGATTGATCATAGCCAGGGCTGGTGATAATGTGGAGAAACCGGAAGGTTTATAAATGTATGGTGAAAGTGTAAATTGATGCCGCTCTTTGGAGGATGAGTTGGCAACAGTTTTGTTAAAAAAAAGAGATCATGGGCCCAATACAGCCTGACTCACTCTAAAAGCCCATGATATCAAACCTAGATTTAATACCTAATCTAATTGCAGTTCTGTTACCACCCAAGAGAGGTTGTCTGCCCACTGCAAGACATGCCAATAGTCAAGAGGCAAGGTGGTAGGAGAGAAAGGGTTTTATTACAGCTTGCTAGCAAGAGGGAAGATGGCTGACTAATGTCCAAAAGAATCATCTTACAGAGCAAAGATGACAGGCCAGTCATGAAGGAGGCTGGTCTCCAGGTGGGGCAGACATCTGGTCTTCAGGTGGGGCAGACATCTGGTTTTCAGGTGGGGTAGATATCTGGGCTTAATTCCTGATAATCTTTTGTTTTACTGGATGTGCATCAGAGATTGGAGCAATACACGCTGATTTAGCTTAAAGATAGTAAGAACAAAATCTTTAACATGCATAGTAAAGATTACTGTTTACGTAAGTGATACCAACAGTTTCAACCTCTCCCTGAAATGTAATTTTAGTCAACCAATCTGAAAGTTTCGGGTTAGCACCAATGAGGTCATCTGCCATGTGGGCCCTCTCCATCCCCCCAGAGGAAGAAGAGGCAGTCTGTTTGATAAAATCCTTGCCATTCCCTTCCCCACAAAAGAAGATCTCCTGGGCTAAAAATAATCCCTTCTTTTCTTTTGCTAGTAGCTCCCTTGCCCCACCATTCTTCCTATAAAAGCCTCCCATTTTGTACAACTCCTCTGAGTGCGCTTCTAGTTGCTAGATGGAATGCTGCCTGATTCATGAATCACCAAATAAAGCCAATTAGATGTTCAAATTTACTTGGTAGAATTTTGTTTTTTAACATTATTAAAATTATAAAGGCAAATTTGTGGTCCAATAACCCCACTTGATAATCCTGAAGTCTATCCTTTCTTATCTGCCTTTGCTGCAGCTTCTCCTTCCTTGACCTGGACATGTTGAGATACCCCCTGGGCTCTGAATTTACCCTCTTCCATTTATTCTCTGTTTACCTTCACACTCTCTCTGTGTGATTTCACCCTACTCCATAATGACCAAGAACACCACATTTTTATCTCCATCCCTGACTTTGCCACTGAGCCGCAAACTTCCTACTTGCTATCTTCATTTGAGTGACTAATGAAACCGGCAAACAGTTAGCCATTGATGATTAAGCAGCTAGTAACTGTGGGGGATCAGAATTGGCCACCTCAAAATATATCTCTGCCTGAAAGACACTTTGACCTCTACCCCTACTAACTGACCAAAAGAGTTTTGGATGGGAGACCTGCCCCCAGAACAGGCCATCACCATAGACATCTCCGGGTATCTGGGAGGGTTCTTGCTAAGCCCACTCTTAGTTCTGGTTACCCTTTATGAGAGACATTTACACTTGTAAAGGAAAGCTCCATTTGTAAAGATATCTTCTTCACTGTACCAGGAAGAAGAGGGAGATGGCCTTACCTAGAAACTTATCAGAGTGGAAGGCGAGGACTTAAATCCGCATGAAAAACTTATCCATTGTTAACTGTGCTGTTTAGGCAATATGCTATCTGACTGCCACTAGGTTCCTATAGATAACATCTCCCTGGAGCCTGGGTCACCATAGTAGTGGGTGTTTGAGCTATTTTTTTTTCAGGAATTGGAACCTCCTGTCCACTTCAGGCTGGTTGAGACCACCCTCAGAGCATGCTAACACCGCCATTCTGTGAACATGCATCCTACAAAGAGGCATGAAGCCTGACTCCACTTGCACAGATCATCAATTACCTCATCTCTCCTCACCTCCAATCATTTCAGACCACCTCACCCCCTACCCCGTAGATATCCCTGAGTTCCTATTTTCAGGGAAGCAGATTTGAGGTTCATTCTCTTGTTTCCTCACTTGGCTGCCTTGTGATTAATAAACCCTCTCTCTCTCTGTAATCTCATTGTCTTGGCGCTTGCCTTTCTGGGCAGTGGGCAAAAACGGACCTGGTGTGATAACACTAATATCTGTCTTCAAGTTCACATGGTCAAAACAGAACCCTTGATCTCCCTCTTTCCCCAGTTGTATTCCTCATTCAGTCTTCATGTCTTTAAATGGCACTACCGTAGTCTCGATTGTTAACTTAAAATTCTAGATGACTCATGATTAATCCCTTCTCTCACCTTTCATGTCCAGGCCATCAGTAAGCCTCTACTAAGTCTCCAGAACATTTCCCTGTACATTCTCTCCATCTCCATTGCCACTATCTTTGTCCAAGCAACTGTCTTCTCTCACTTGTACTAATGTAATAATTTCTTAACTAGTGTAGGAGAGGAAGAAATTTTCCTCTACCCTCTAGGTTCTTCTGGCTGGTCTAAGAATTAAGTTGACATGAGGCACATTAATAGAAGAAAATCAGATTCAATTAATTTTGTACATACACGAACTCCACATACATGAAGAAGTCAGAGACCCCACATACATGAGAAGTTCAAAGATAAAAAGGTAAAATGAGGTATTTATGCCATCTTGAGCTAAGGAATGGGATAGGAGCCTGAGGCTTCAGAGGGGAGGA